AAAAACACAACTTAACTTCCACTATATACACCCGATTCATGGAAGATAAATTGTCAAAGGCATAAAGAAAATGGATGATAAAAATATTACTTGTGTTACAATCAAATCAGTACGAATAATGTTTGTACATGGGACTAAGGTATTTGATGGGAATATATGCCATTGTAGAAACTAAGCACGTAAAATAGGCTAAGGTTCTATATATACTCAGCAAAATCTGAGACCAGTTAATTAATATTTGTTTTTATGGTACGTATTAATTAACTGTCTCAATCATAGCCCTCTAACACTAATATAGAATGAACAATTTCAAACAGAACGTATATTTGTATTCTCCCTTTGAGAATTTTGATCTTTTTAGATAAACTCATCATATTTGGAGAATTTATTCAAATACAATCAATCATCAATCATCCCATCTTTCTATTCTATTTTAATGGGCTAACTAACTCCCCACCTCGGCCCATCTAGTCAAAATCACCACCACTATTCTTCTCTTTTACTTTGTGTAATAGTGATATCTCTTCACCCAACTCTCACCAAAAAAAAAAGAAAGAAAAAAGATAGTTATAAAATTTATCGATAATTTTCAGCTAATTCATGGATAAAAAATTCCTAAATAATTACATTTTCTTATAATCAATAATAATAATAGCTAAATAGAGAAAGTGATAACTTTCATTTACTAAGTTGATAAAAGAGATCATGTATATCTCAAATACGATGATACAAATACATACATACATATATATATATATATAAGGGGAGTATTTGGGAAAATAATTTATCAGCGAGTAATATAAATAGATTAAAACTTCAACAGAGGTACAATTTATATTTTGAAATAAAATAAATCACGTGGGGAATAATTAATATTCGTTAAGTTTAGGTTAGTTTCTATTTTCAATCCTAATTAGTTTGAGACAAGTTATTAGAAGAGATTGTCCATATCTCAAATACAGTGATACAAACCAAAAAAAAAAGGAATTAGTACTGTTTTATTTGTTATTTAATTACTAATTTTAGTATAACTTAAACACCAAGACTAGTTGGAAGATATTTTTAAAAGGCATAATATATAAACATAATCCTTAACTTGGCATCAATTAATAATTATGATTCTTAATTTTGGGGTTGCACAAATAAACACTTAAATTTGTATAAAATTGAATAAATAGACACATTCGTCCTACATGACATTTTTGTGTCCTGTGTGGCGTCCTATATGTATTATGTCATGTAGGACATGGATGTCTAATTGTTTAGTTTTATATAAGTTTAAGTGTCTAGTTGTACACACCCAAAATTGAAGTGCATTATCTGCTAAAGTCAAGTTAAGAGTCATATTTATGGATTATTTCTTTTTATAAACAAAACTTCTTGAAAAAAATTATGGACTGCATTCCAATATAACTAATTTCACTACTCACAGTATCACAACTAAATTTAAATCTTAGCATTGACCCCTCATATTAGTTTGGTCCTCTTAATACATGCAATCTCCTGATTTTAACGGTGAACATTACCCTATTTTCTTCAATTTATATCACTACACAAGAAAGAGTATTTAGTGATCTTTTATTAAAATAACGTTTTCATAAATATATAGTGAGGCCTTACCTTATAAATTCAAATAACTGGTGCGCATTACTCCAATCAAATGTGATGTATACTGATTGGAAGATTACTTAGATGGGGTATAACTACGTGTTAGGTAAATTTTCAACATTGTTTTAGTTTCATTTTTTTGGAGATAATGGAGGAGTGATCAATTAAAAAGATTATTCCCTATCAATCTAATCAATATGTGGAACAAGTTCTGCGTCATTCCTCTCCCACCATCATTTAAAATATATATTCACTATGAATTTTCTCTTTGCAAGAAATGGTGTGTCGATCTCATCCTTTAATTATTTCCAACGGCTGTTAATCTCCCCATCTTTAATTACTTAACTATGCATTATCTTTAAATAGCTGCCTAGTTATATAGTATGCTTTTTCCTTTATATATATTGAGGATGTGTCTTCCAATGGCTGATGATGCATATGAATTATTCACTTCTTTTTTGAAAGTTTTTCAAAGCAATGAGCCTATTGTTCAAATATAGCTTTGTGCATTGTACATTAATAAATGTATAATAAGTTGACTATTCGACCTCATAATGTTGATATGCACCGTTTGAGTATAATAAATTCAAAGCAGTGGAAGATATTTATAAAAGAATTAAAGTTAATAACGAGGACAATTTGTCTATTGAATTTCTAAACCAATCAAGTAAAAATAGATTAGTATTTAATTTTAGTAAACCTGGGTAAAAGTATGATTTTTCATTTGATATATGGACATGTTTTAATCTATTTATATATAGTCTCCACACGTGTATCTTGATTCATGTACGATGATCGATAGGAAATTAGTCAAAAAAAAATGTTAATGTACATCTATATATTTAAAATTCGAGAATGAATATAGTCCATGACTCCATCTTTTACAATTTCAAACCAAAATAGAAAAACATGTGTAAAAATGTTGAAATTAATAATTGAAAATGGATTATAGTAAACTATTTTTTTTTTCTGTCTAAAATATTGACCTTTTGATTTCTAAATATAGGTAAAATTATTTATATATGAAAAAATTAAAAAAGAATTTAATTATTTGTGTCATATTCGCCCTCGACACATCATCATATTACAATGATAAGTACATCAACCCAAAAATAAAAGAAAATAATAACTAATGCTAACATTTAAATAAATATATTTTAAAATTTTAAAAATAAGTGAATTTCTTGATTCAAGTCTAAGTCTAAAAAAGAAAACGTTGAAGAGAAGAACAAGGCTAGGTTGTATCGTCATTTGTGGATCGTTAAGAATTTAAAGAACACTGACTTACCTTATGAATAGGCTGTAGTTGGTGGAGATTACATTTTGTTTTTTCATTTTACAATAACTTACGTGGCAACTTTTCTTTTTTATCCTATCCTTCCTCATTTTTCGAAAACATTTAATCGATTCCATGCTACCTGCCACCTCAGAATATATGCGGCAATACGCTGATATGTTTACCCTTGACCGGTTTTATTTTCTTCGCCTTAATTTATGTGATAATGGATAAAAAAAAAAGAGTAAAATTTATAAACTAAATAAATAATGAATAATTATTTAAAGAAATTTATTCGTATACTATTTTGTGACACATCATTGCCCAAATATTAAGTGGATGTTTAGACTTTAGATGGACTGTTTTGCAATTTTGCCAAAACCAATAATACGTGTTAACAATGAACTATCTTCTCCTAAAATCGTCATTCCCTTAGCAATTAGCATTACTCATTACTCTAGCCAGCCACATGTGTGGTGAATAGATTACCATTTTGATATTTGCCCTCGTGAACTTCTTGTTTGATTGTACTAATTAATTAGGGGTAATTTCAAATAGAAAATGACTTTTTCTTTTTATAAATGTATCTTAGTCTTCTAAAACTCTCTATATAAAACTATTTCTAAATGTGTTTGAATTGAATAATTGAATTGTGTATAATCAACTCGTTAGTTGAAAAATATAGATAAAAATAATAAGAATAAATATCTGATCCAACTCGAACAATAAAACTTTACCTATGAAAGATTGTCAAAGAAATTAGTGATTATAATCCTTTAAAGTATATAATTTAAATTAAATAGATTAAACATAACTGTGCTGAATTGCTATTAATGTGGTATTTCTAATTCACTTTGACGTGTCATTATTTAATTTTTTTTTACTTAATAGAATACTAATTATCATTAAATAAGGATAGTATGATATATATATAAAATTATTTTTTAATAGATATACCAAGTGAAATAATGACAAATAAAAGTGAATAGAATAGATAGTAATATAGTAAGACCTCACTAAATTAATGTGGGTGAGATCATGAAGTACTTTATTATTTTGTAGATGTACTATTAAATTGAAAGAGTGTTTCTATGACATAAAATTTGTTCAAAATGAAATCTCAACGAATTTGCATGAATCCACTTATGAAAATATCATTTGCCATGAACTTGAGGTTATTGAATAGGTGAAAATGATATATGTTCAAATGTCTAGAGTATAAAACAAATTGTGGATATAATTGGAAAAAAATTATGTCGATGATAAATTTAAATTATACAAAAATTTTAAAAGCGATTAGACGTAAGAAAAAACTAATCGCATCTAAAATTCTTTACAATTTTATGATATAGTCGAAAAAACCACTAAAATATTTGGATGTAATAAAAAAAGTTAGAGTTCTCGCTATGTTGTGCCTAGTAGTACCCGAAGCATTGACATTGAAAGAAGTCGTCAAGCATTTAAAAAAGAACAAAGACAAGGGTTGAATTTCAACAAAAAATTAAAAATAATTGAATTACATTTAACTAAATTGTCTTATATACATTTTTATACTTTTTGAAAAAATTATTAATATATAATATTAATGCAATCATATTTTTATACAGATACCTTCTGAAAATAAGTTTTCTTTCTCTTAATGAGTGATTTTTTCTATTTATCCAAACAGAGATTGAAGAAAATTATTATATTAAAAAAATTATTAATTAATTAAGTATTAATTTAGTAAAATTTTGATGATAATAAAATTTGTTAAACGATAAAACTAAACGACACAGTTGTTACGTCATACCTTGTTTTTTTATCCAAAATTCTTTTTTTTCAAATTTGTTTTTTCCTTTAAACTCTATTTGACCTATTTATGGTAATCAAGTTAAACCGCACACGATATGATACTTTTATCGCTACTTTACGTGGCTAATATTTTGGGAAATATTCATTTTCTCGCCTTTGTGTTATCCTTTCTCGCGATATATAGCAGCGAGTAATTAAAGGAAAGGATAAAATAATCCTAACGCCGTTTGTTAACCCCAAATAAACAAAAAAAAAACTACTAGCGTTTCTTCAACGGCAGAAGGACCTATAAATTGGAGCCAATTACAATGCAATAAGCTGCAACTTTTATCAATTCTCTTTATCTCCGAAAGCTTCAGAGTTAGTTTCTTCGTCTATCAATGGCGTTCAAAAAACTTGTAGCTCAACGTCTTTTCGATTCATACAAAATTAGTCGTCCTTCCCTATCAACATGCCGTATTTGTTCCTCAACCATGACCAAATCGATGGCTTCTCCTAATCCTGAAAGGATAGCCCCAGATCCCGGCGAGGGTGCTTTTTTCCGTCGATCTCTCCACCGAAGCTCTTTGTTCCAATCATTAGCAACCTCGTCGGAGCTCCGGTCTTTTCCCATCGGTGAAAAGCTCCGTCAGGAATTGAGAGGGATGGACATTGGTAGAGATAGGATAAGACTGGATGCACTCATCTCACCGCCGCAACAAAAATTGTTGCCGGAGATTGAGTCAGAAGCCGAGGAGGAGAAATTCACGGTGGCGGATGCAAAGAAGGTTATGAGATTGGCACAACTGGAGGTGGTGAAATCGAGGCTGAGGCAGATGGAGAATGACTGGATTTCTTTTCCGGAATTTTTTCAGATCTGCAATGGCGCTTCTTCAAACTCCGATCAAGCCATAGAATTCGCAAAGATGCTCGATCAATCAGGAATTGTACTTGTTTTGGGAAACGTCGTATTCCTTAAGCCTGATAAGGTTGGTTTTCTATTATTTTTTTTTTCCGATTCATGCTTTTTCCCCTTATAAAATTTTCAATGTGGATTTCCATAACTTGCCATGATACAGATTTTACAAGATGTCTATGTGCATTATTGTACTGCTGAGAAGTATTGATAAGTTGTAACAAATATTACTACTTTTTTTTTTAGTTTGTGCATTACAAGTCTACCGAAAACTGATAGAATTTCATCTATTCTCTATGTTTTTCGACAGGAAAGCCAACAAAGTTATTCCAGATCTCTAAAACGAGATGGTGACTTTTATAAGGGACTGCACCAGTTGGACCATTTCCAAACACCCCAACTTACACCATTGAACACACCCTTTCCTCTTAATTCCAAACATTTGGGAAGAAAATAATGTTTGTCCTAAAAAGTGTTTTTTGCAAAAACTGAAATTGTTATTTACTGAAACTTTTTTAAGCTAATAGTTTGGTGGAGAAGAGGTTCCATAGAGTCCAAAAATTAGTAAATCCTACCCCAGAAGGAAACGAAATACAGCTATTCCCTTTCCACTTTACAGCTCCTCTAGTTGTGTTTTCTAATACTTGACGCAAGTGACAATTTGCCTTCCTTGTCATAGGAATTCAGAATTTTAAGTTTGTGTCTAAGTGCGTGCGTGATTGTGTCTGATAATATAGATTAATTAGCGAATCCAATTTAGATGAATGCTTGCAAATGAGAAGATGTTTCTCATCTCATTATGTGATAAGGCGCGTGAAGTGGAGTTCTATTGTTTTACCCAAGCATTTTGGTCCCTTGTTTTGTTGCTACAGGTGGTGAAAGCCATGGAAGGCTTAATGCCAAGGCCTTTGGCTCAGCCAAATGACCCACAAATGATGAAAGAGTTTCAACAAATGGATGAGAAGAAATCAGCTATTGACAAAAAGGCAGAATCCTTGGTGCAAAGGGAGTTATGGTGTGGGCTAGGATTCTTTGTGATTCAGACTGCAGCTTTCATGAGGCTCACTTTCTGGGAGCTAACATGGGATGTAATGGAGCCAATTTGCTTCTATGTTACATCCTTTTACTGCATGGCTGGTTATGCTTTCTTCCTTAGGACATCCAAAGAGCCTACTTATGAAGGATTCTTCCACAGCCGCTTTAGCGCAAAACAAAAGAAGCTCATGAAGATTCACAATTTTGATCTTCAGAGGTACAATAAACTCCGCAAAGCTTGTGATCCGCACTCGTCCATACCCACTGGAAATACTTTAACACTTCACTCAACACCCATGATGTCCACAACATAGAATGTGGCGATTTTACATGAAACATGTTGTGGTTGAGATGGATTTTGTTTAGGAATACTGGGAACCTAAAGTTGGAAAGGACAGATGATATACTTTGCTTCGTTTTTTTTTTTTCTTTTTACTTGTTTTACTTTTAAGTTAGTGTCGAATGGATACAGGGGATACTTCGAGCTGATCCCAATTGATGTGGGACTGAGGCGGCGTTGTTGTTGTTTACTATTACTTTGGACCTAGACTAACTTTGAGTTTTTCTATGTCACGGCTAATGTATTTTAAGTGAAGAGGGCTCTAAAAAATTATAGAAATTTCAAACTTGGTTTGCTCACGTAACATGACTTGCGCATTAGGGACCCAAGAATCATGGTGCATTCAACTAACAATCTGATTAAAATATTAGATTAGATGGAGTTAATGTCTACCGAATTCATGTCTGTGTATCTGGAAAGGAAAAGATTAACAAATATTATCTCACAAGCAGAGTCATTGTTTACCCATTCATCTCCCTGGATTGTTGGGGAATCTAATCTGATGATATAAGAATAGGACAAGTATCAACTTGCACCACAATACTACTATACGTAACACATTTTCCGATTCCTAATATACTAATGAATGTAATTCACCTTTGTCAAAGAGCACCAAATATTGTTTGAAATACATTTACACAAGTGGTTGGGCTACTGCAACTTGTCTGTACTTCCTAGTAAGCTGGAGTTGGCTTTTTACATGCTGATAAGGAAGAGGAATAGGGGATGGGTGTTTTCTAGGCAGGCTGATTCACATTAAATGGCTTTGGACTATGCTTGTTTCAGCAAATCAATAATAATGTCATAAGATATTGTGTTGTTAAGTCTAAGGTCCCATGTTCACATTACGTGAAAAATAGGACAATGTTCAACTTTTCTGACTCTCAAAACAAATGGAGGCGCTCCAAGTTGTCAAGGTTTCAAAAATCAGGATTTTAATTAGGCCGTGAAGACCTCTTACTTCTAGTTAAATTCCATCTCAAAGATTGGGGCACTAATCGGGATCTCAACACAAACATGATTACGGAGTGAAACTGTACATATATGTATAGAGAGAGAGACTTTGGGTAATTGGAGTAAATATATTGCAGTAATAGAAGAATTAAAACAAAAAAGTAACAGCAAGTCCCATGCCAAAACCAACGTCCAACTAAACAAGTATTTGTTACTTGTCCTATCCCTTCATTAAAATATCGATTTTGGTGCAATTCATTTTTACCGAATGCAATATGACTAATGCCTTACAAACTTATTGAAAGAGACATTACAAATTAACATGCATGACCAAGTGCATCGATCGGTTCGGTTCGGTTTTACATATAACTTTGTTCAGTTTATCGGTTTTCAGTTTTCAAATATGCTAACCCAATAACAAACCAATAAGACATTTTTTATCGGTTTATCGGTTTTTGATATTATCGGTTCGGTTTCGGTTAACCCAATAAGAAAATGTAGATCAAATAATATATAATCGTACGTATGTTATAATTACATGTTACCAACTTACCGCCAAAACATAATAGAAAACTTTGAATGTTGATTAAATTACTAACATTCACAAACTTGCAAAAGCTATCGCCTACAATTACGAACTAGAATTAAAACTAAAATAAAATATTTCAATGAGACAATCTTGAACAGTTGCTTGATCCACCGGATAATCAACAAAGTTCTCACCAATTTCCTAACAAAAAAATCATATAGCCTAAAAAGCTAATATTGAATCTATTTATGTATTAAATTATGTATATTTAATATTGAGGAAGGGTAAAGTAGTAAATAACTATCGTCTTATTGGGTTATCGGTTTACTCAATAATCCAATAGGAAAAATCGAAACCGACCCAATAACCCAATAATTATTTTTTCTAAACCCATTAAAAACCCAATAACCCAATAACAACAACCCAATAACATTTTATCGGTTCGGTTTACTGGTCGGTTCGGTTTTTGCACACCCCTAGTTTCATGTGCCTGCATGATGTAGGGTGGCAAAATCAAATTCCACCGATCCAGGATCGGTCATTGATTCGCTTATTTGTTATATCAGTTCATTTCAACCAATTAAAAATTTGGTTGATATGTAACTCAAATTAATTTTGAGAAATCTTGTCAAAATATTTTAATTTTTGTTTTGTTTTTATGTGTTATATATAGTTATAATAAAGAAAAAAAAATAATTTTAGTGGGTACGGAAAGCTTATAAAATAACATATAAAACAATTAAAACTTAGTAAAAATTGAGCGGGTTGAATATAGGGATAATTGTAATGAATGACAAACTAATAATATAAAATAAATATAGTAGCTTCCCTTTGATTTATTTGGGTTCCATAGCAAACTATTTGTCAGTCTCTCTCTCCCTCATATTCTCGCTCGCCACTCTCCCTCTCTCGCTCGCTGATTCTTGTCGCTCGCCTCTCTCGCTTTATACAATTTTTTGTGTTTCTAATTGTATAAATCGAGAGAAAATTGTATAAACGTATGCAAATACATATATTTTCGTCCTATCCACTTGTAAGTATACAATACAAATATTTTCTTGCCCAAGTCTCTTTTGCCTTTCTCGTTTTATACAAATTTAAATTGTGTATAATTTCTCTCTTTCTTGTTTTATAAAATTCGATTCAATTGTATATTTCCTGCACAAATCTCTTTTTGCCTTTTTCTCTTTCTCGTTTTATACAATTCAATTCTGCCTTTCTCGCTTTCTCGTTTTATACAATTCAATTCTGCCTTTCTCGCTTTCTCTTTTAATACAATTCAATTCTGTCTTTCTCGCTTTCTCGTTTTATACAATTTAAATTGTAAATAATTTCTCTCTTTCTCATTTTATACAATTCAATTCTGCCTTTCTCGTTTTCTTGTTTTATACAATTCAAATTGTATATAATCTCTCTTTCTCGTTTTATACAATTCGCTTCAATTGTATATGCATATCGAATTATACATATATAAGTTTGCTATGGAGCACAGTTATGCAAACTCTTCTATAGCATACAAATATAAATTTTATGTTGGCTATATGTGAAAGTTACCCTTAAATATAATTGTTACTAACCCGTTTGACCCTACCTATTTTGGCTCAAACAAATTTCGATTAGGTCTTGACCTGTTAATTGTCTTGGCCCATTTTGATCTACCCAAATTTAACCCAACATGCCCAATTGTCGCCCCAACATGATCCCCCTCCCAAGGAAAGCTTTCTTTTTCATTCAACTTCGTGTTATCTTATCTTCGTTTTATTAATCACCTTGTCTATCTCAATTAATCTCACAAGATATTAACTACCTTCCACCAACAACATATACCATAAAACATTGTCCACCAAAGCTAGTGTGATCTTTATATCATCGAAAACTACGAAAATAAATCATTCATACATCATACACGATTAGTTATACTGAAAAGACTACTCTTACGAAATACGAAGATGAAAAATAAAATGTCTTTATATTTGTATAGCATGTTGATCAAGATTTTTAATAAGGGGATTTAAAGTCTGAGAAGTAAATAGATGAACTACTTAAAGGGGGTTCGACATTTATTATATATATCTAAAAAATAATTATACGCATATATAAATATTAATATTTTTTTTGAATGAACACCTAAATATATGCTGCCTTAATCATAATACGTGTGATAGCTTTACAAAAGGTTCAGGTCAATCATGCATGCCATGTGATATTAGCATTATATGTCTAAAATTATCTAAGATACTTTGATTAAAACATATAATAATTTCTTCTTCATTCTTCTTTTTTACAAATTAAGATTGAGCATGTTTCTATCGTTGTACAGAAATTAGAGACATGACCAGTGAATTACGAAGAATCTAAATAATTTTAATTATTAATACACCGACTAATTATCATACATCTAGTACTATCCTGATTATGACTTACATTAATTAAAAAAAATTATTTATGCAATTTAATTAATGAAATCTCTAGGCTTAATTAATTGTTAGAGAAAGCTCAATGGAAATTTTTAAGTGAGGAATATTACACGAAGGACTCACGATCAATTTTGTAGTGTATGTGGTAAAAATTGATTCCACTAAAAGACTATTCAATATTAATTTCCTTTTTGTTGATTTACTTAAAATTGAAGACTCTAGTAGGTTATTCTCCTACTGATATACCGAGGGTGAGCAAAGATCTAATACTTTCTTGGGAAATTTCTGTTAAATAGCTATAAAATTAATTTAATTACGTCTCATAGCTATAATTTTGAATCAAATTGAACTAAATTAGTTTGGTTTGAAATATGACGTATACTTTTCTAAAAATGAAAATCGAAGAATTAAAAAGTTTGATAAAATTGAATCAAAGAATCGAGTGACCATCCAAATAAGTGATTTTCGAATAAGAAACCTTATATATAATATATGATACAAATTTAGTATCAATTAATCGAAAATTATCAGCTTTAATAAATGAGGGTGTTATGGGTTGTATTTTTTTTTTTTTTTGAGAGAGAATGATTCTTTCTTGAATTACTTTGAATTGAGATATGAGCATGTAACTATTTTGAGTTTTATGCCCCATTTATGTAGTTTTTTCTAGAATTATGATTTAGGATTCATTTAAGATTGAAAACTTACATAATATACTATATTAAGAAAATATTTACCATTTATATCAATAATATTTTCTTTTCACTTGATCACTTTTAATACATATCACAGAAAATAATTTATAAACACATATAATACAAGTTTTATTGACTGATAATACATTTTTCACATATTTAAAATACTAGTAATACAATGTGTCAATTTCTTACCAAACAAGCATAATATATTTTAAAACAATTATAATACATATATATTGCATACATAATTTGCTTTTTATACATATTACGGATATATCATAATATTATTATATATGATAATAAATTTAAAAATATTGCTACAGTTAATAATTATTTATCAAAATATAGCCATTGAAGTAATTTTTTAAGATTGAAATGGTACTAGTAATGTGAAGAACAGATAGAGCAGAGGCCCAGACAGAAAACTGTGAACTTGAGTACAAAGCCCACTGGACTCGGTGAGACAAATTCTTGATCCATATCTAACAACAAATTTGACACCTAAATATATAGGAAAATTTAGTTAACTAGTCAAAAAAATCAACTTATTTAGTGATAATATCCATACTTTAATAATATTAGTAAACATGTCAAAAATGTCATTATTTTGAAAATAAATAATTATTATGATATTATTAATATTTTTTCTCTCATTATTTACAGTTTTTCTTTCTCTCTCATAGATTACACATTTTCATATGTAATTGGATAAATATTAATGTCATTTTAATTTTTTTTCTTTCTTTTCTTAAGTTTATCAATTTCTCTTTCTTACTTTCTTCCAAATCAAATTTCCAGATTTTTCTATCTTTTCTTATTCTTCTTTTAATTTTTCTCTCTAACATTCTTCCAAATCAATTCCACAGATTTTCTATTCAATATATTAATATTTTAATTTCGTTGCAAGATTTAATTTGAAGATTAACAATGATTTGGGTATTATGTTTTTCAGATTCCTTATTTATTTACTTACTGATTTTAGTTTTTTTTTAATTTTGTTGTTGTCCTTAAAATATTTTTTAGGGTTTGAGACTACATAATTTTCTTTTAAATTGACGTTTTCAAGAGAGTTACTAGAGTTTTTAGACAAAATAATCAAAGTTTTTTCGATTTTCCATCTTTTTTTTTCACTCAAGAATTAAACAACAATGTAAATGCTAAAATATTAACATTTTGAAAAATTATTTCCTAATATATTTTCCTTTTCAATGAAAGGATAGAACTGGGGAATGAATAGTGAAAGAAATATCTTATGTAAAAGAGGAGAGAGACTAGACATATTTCCCATCGACATATTTGGAGAACATTTCTTATAGCAAATTAAGTTTATTAATAATAAGGAAAATAACTATTTAACGTAAGAAAAAAAAGTTACTTTTAAGTGACATTTTATATTGATTTGTATTCTCCACAGTTCTAATGTTCATCTTATATTTACTCCAGAGATTACCCGGACACCAGGGGCGGAGCTGCCTTCATACAAGGGGCTCATCCAAACCCCCTTCGACAAAAAATATATTATTTATAAATTTATATGTATATATAACAGATATCGAATCCTTTCTTGTATCATTTATCAAGATTAAATATAAACTACTTTTAGCATAATAAATTTAACTTTCTTCACGAACGCAAAGAAAAAAAAGTAAAAACTCATTTATTTAATTTCTTTAAAAACTTTTTTCTTTCCCAAAATATCTTAGTAGATCAATCTGATAATTACTTAAAGTTGCAAGGTGCATCTTTACCCTAAAATGTGCCATACTTTTGAGCAATTTAATCACTGATATTATTGTATCTAAATCTCCATAATATTCCTGCTAAGTACTAAGTAGAAACCAAATAATTATAGATTTGACTGCCCTTTTTTTTTTCAACAGCTAATGGCAGCACGCTAAAAACTTACCTAGCACGTTAAAGTACAACTCCAATAATTATGCTGCCAGTGCCATGTCAAACTTTTCCATCTCCACCGAATCTTTTCCACTCTACTTATTACCATTTACAAGTTTAATAACTATATTTACTTTAATTTTAATTACATTAAAACTATATTCTTAACTCGGAGCATACACTTTATAGGAATAAATATTTATCTTACATATGCATGCATATAACACAATATTCTTAGTTTGATGTAAACAAATATTTGTCTTACATTAACTGGAGTGCCATTGATATTATAAGCTCATTGGAAAACTCTCCACAAAAAATGATCACTGCACAGCATCTAGGAACATTGGGGAACTGACAAGAAATAATTCCACTCTTATTGAGAGCTGTGTCGACACATACTTTGCCCCATAAGATTGGGATAAGACTCCAATTCAATGACTTTTACACAATGATTGGTATATGGAAATAATAGCAAGAGATGGACAGAGTTGTTCAAATAATGACATTAAGAAACGTAACCCCTTAATACTTATTGGATGTTTTCGTGTCATATATGATTTGAAGCTCCTTCTAATTTGATTTTAGAGTGGCATAAAATATATTAAAAGATTTTACTAAAATTTTTTTTAATTATAATTAAATTTAAATTTAAGATCTCTAATTAAGTACTAAAGAATTTGACATGAGTCCCACCAAAACTCTGGTGGTCCTCCAATGTCAATACGAATTTTACATAGCACACAAAATTCAAATAAAAGATAAAGATCAGTTGTGTCAAGATAAACTAATAATTTTATTCATGTTTCATCCTTAGCATTAAATACATATTTTTCATTTTTTTAAGATATCTTTTAATAGGGGATAGATTGTTAAATATCTATTCATTAATTATTTTTTCTTAATGATTAAAACTATAGCAAGTGAAAGTGAACGAAGAGAGTAATTATAAATTACTTAAAGTGATAATTATTTGTCTTTTAAAAATTATAACAAGAATTGATTTGAAATTATGAGATACTCCTTTTCTCCCTTTTAATTTGTTTTATTTTGACTTTTTAATTCTGCCTTTTTATTTGTCATTTTCCTAGAAATCAAGCTAAAAATAAACTTTTTACCTATTATTATATTTTCAATTTATTTAGAAAATTAATATCTTAAAAATAAAACTTCTTTAATGAATAATTAATTTTAACATTTATAAATCAATAAGAATAAAAATAATAAATTCATAGTATTAATTTTTATTATTAGGAGTTAATGTCAAAGTAAAAATGAGCCCGTCAGACGGATGGAGTAATAGGTTATACCATTGGAGAATGCAGTGCACTGAAACTTTCAAATAATTTATTGCTACCTCCGTCCAATATTATAAGTTATCCTTTTTTAAAAATAGATGAATCATAATTATATGTTATTTTATAAAATTTATATTTTATCTATTAGATTCTTATTAATGAATTTTAAAAACATATTTACTTTAATTATTTTTGAAAACTTATAACTAATTAAATAAAAATATAAAAATAAAACCATCTTATTTTTTAATATAAATATAAATAAAAAAATATTTATAATATGAAACAAAGATAGTAACATTTCAAATGAAAAGATAAATGGATAAACTTCGGTACTCGCTACCAACAGAAGCGTAATATTATATTCCAATATTAAATCTTTTTAAAGTATATTGCATTATTGAGGGCCACTTGGCCTTAAAGTAGATATGTAATCTAACTGCTTTCCTCTTTTTTCCAGAATTTTATAATTAGTATTATCTATCTTAATTAACCTGGATGAGAATTTTAACTAGCTCCCTATATAGCGCCACGTTCACGATACTCTCAGTTCTCACATATATATTTATAATTTATTAATAATAATAACCTTATCATCGAAACTCCTAAGTATGTGTGCATGTTCGATGGGCGCACAACTAAGAATCTCGACATTTTAACTTTTACCCATACAAAATAGACCCTCATGAGTTACCCCTTTTAAAATAATAGTACTAATATATATTATCACAACAATTATATAACAAGTTAATGAGTAACACAGCGAGCAAAGTTTTCTTTCTTTTTGTGTCTCCGAAAAACTTAAAGCGAAGCAATTGACCATGCGTGAAATAACTTTGCCATGATTCCGGCTGAATTTCACTACTTCATCATTGGCTATAGATTCTGATAGATGTATCAATTAGTAATACTAAAGATCGAACTCTCCTTTTAAAACAATTTACAAAGCCAACTGACATAACATCAATGCAAAAATTTATATATATAAAAAAAGAAGTAACTTCAAGTTTCTTTTACTCCATTTCTATTCTTCAAGTGCACCTTCACATAAAAATTGAGGAATAAAAATAGGATAGCAGCATTGAGCACTGAATTGAAAAGCCATGCCCCAATTCCGTTACACCCACCTTTCATGAAATGGAGCAAAAGCACCCCAACATGGCACACAACGTGACATCCCAGTAACAGAATCTGACAGCTTACAACAAAGGGGAAACACGCGCTTGGCAATCCAATCGCCGTCCAAAATCTGTAACCGTAAACCGCAGAATATAAAAGCGTTGTAAATAGTATTGCAAGTACTTGAAACGATTGCGAGAATTCTAGCCACAGGAAGGACATAAATATGAGTATGGAGTGGTTGAAGAGTTGAAAGAAGGAGAGTCTTCGACGACGGAGAATGGAGAAGAAAGTACGTAGCGTGTGGAGGAAGCGAGATAGGTAGAAAATGTAGGACCAAAAGAAGACACGTCCGGAAGGGCGCGTGCCGAGAGGGAAACAGAGGAGCCATTGGAAAGCGGTGGTTTTGTTACGGCGCCAGAACCATCGAGTTTCGCGGATTTCAGCGGCGGCGGAGAGGAGTATGCCGGTGAAGATGGTGAGGGAGATTAGGACCATAGAGAGGGAGTGAACGGCAGGGATAGGGCCGAGAGGGAGAGGACGGCGGTTGCGGAAGAGGAGGCAGAGAAAAAGGTGGAGGAAGAGGGAGAAGATAACATAGGCAGCAATGGAGGTGAAGAGGAAGAACCACGTGTTACCCCATGATTGGCTATGACTCCAACGAAAATTTACAACAGAAGGGTGCTGGGAGAGATAATAACGCACGATGTGAATCATCGAACAAATTGCAATGAGATGGAGAAATGATTTGAAATTAAAAAGGCCAGAAAGTTGATAATGAATTAACGTGTTTTGCACAAAAGACTGCGTAGTTCCACTGCTAGACTTTTTGGTACACCAGTAGTAGCTCCGATTCTTTTACGAGGCTTTGAGTGAAATGTTCGGTGGAAAAATGACGGCTTCTTATAAATTTTTCTGCTATTATACTCATATTAATAGGCCTAGGACTCATCTATAAATGTTGAATATCAAAGTCCCTTTTTGCCACTTTTTCTGTTATGACTTATTTTAATTAATTTACTGTAGGAATAAGTATATGAGAATATTTATTAATTTGATGTAAATTATTAGTTTTATTTTAGAATGGTTGATAGTTTTAGTGATTATTTTATTTAATTAATTTAATTTTCAATACACTTTAATCTGTTACATGATATAATAAATAGTTTCAAATTTATGAGAAAAAGTCTAGAAAAGTGTTGAAAACCCTTCTAAACTAGGCGAAATTTCAGAGTTATGTTTTACTCATGCTACAAAATTGAGGTTATATTTAAGTTAAGTTAATCAAGTAAAAGAGTTTTTTAAAAACCATTAATAGCTCAAGATGAAACAAATAATTTATGTTGAATATCATAATCATAAGTACTTTAGTCTTTTCAAAGACTTTATTTTTTCAGCGAATCTATGTTATAGAAAATTTCAGTAATAACAAATATAATATCATCCCAAGTTAGGTTATCATACCATACAGAGTTATTACATACTAGTATATTACCTTATAAGTGACTCCACTATGTAACTATTTTTTCTTCAAACACATTATATTTGAACTTTTTAATGAAGCAGGGGGTCATTAGGTCACGTTTTAAACCTTTGATGCCCCACAATTTCTTTTCCTCAGTGATCCACAACTCAAAAGGTTTACTTTTTACAATTTCTACAAAATTTTCTTGTTCTTATGCTCCATTATACTAGAATTATTTACAATAATATAGGAGAATCAGATTCTAAGCTTACTTTTAGTCTTTAGGTCTATTTATTTGTAAGCGGTTATATCCCATCGAATTTACAATATTAATGGATTTACTTTCTCTCCATTTTTGATTGTTTCCATTTCTCAAGTTATCACTTAGACAAATGACACAAGGATTGGAGTCTTAGATCAATTTTCCATCAAGTTAAGATGTGTGAATGAATTTTTTGTAGAATTTCTATAGCGTTTATTAATAGAAAATATTTTTAGTACTAACATATATATGAAAACTATTTTTGTTCGAGCACATATATATATGGAATCACAAAATAATATGATATATATAAATTGATTTATTTATTTATTTTCTATAACCACATTATATTATATAAATATATATATATGTATAAAATAATGATATACAAATTGAATTACGTAACTTTTTAAAGCAAAATTTATACAAACATATTTTAGTATACGATTTGTGTAGAAAATATGCTAAATACAAATTGATTTACTTAATGGAGTGAATTCAATTATGTAATGGAATTTTAGAAAATAAACTAGAGAATAAAGGTATGTATAATAAGATTTACTATGAATTTTAAAAAGGAGAGATAACGAGGAAGCAAAAATGTAGGAGACATTTATAAAAAAAGAATACTAATTACTAATTAATTAAGAGAAAAACAGGAGATTGATATTCTATCAGTTTTAAAACTCTTTAATTATGAAAAACAATATTGATTTATTATTGAGTTTATAAAATATTAGTTACATATTTTTTTTCTCATTTTATAGTTTAATTTATTAGATTTTGATAGAAATCACTGTTACTTATTAAAACTACTACTAGATAATTTGAATAAGACTAATAAAAACTTTTTAATACATTATTTGGTAATTTTTTTTATTCAAATTACATTAATTTTGGCTAAACATTTAAGATGTACCAAAATGAAATCAACCCAAAATCCACAGAATATGAAGGTTTGGGCTTCGGCCTATTAATCCAACATCCTCTTCATAAAACATAAAAGGGCCCAATAGAAAAGCAACGACGGGTATCCATTTGACCGTCTCCCGGGTATAACTGAAATTAGAGATGAATTTAGGTAAGAACTCTGGGAGATAGACAGGGTGAAAAGCCCTAGATTCTTTCTTCTATGGAGTCAATACTTGTTCAATACTAATAATTGAAGGGCTCAATTACCGCATTTTAGCTTCGATCCATTCATTGCCTTTGAATCCCCTTGCTTTTCTTCTGAATCGGTACGTTCATACATCCTAGAAGGCTTCTTCGTTTTAATTTTTTTTTTCAATTTGCATGTAAAATTTGATTTTTTTCTGATCTATTCTGTTTTTATGTAAATCGAAAATCTTTTCTCGATTGAAATCTTGATTTCTCAGAATCAAGATTACGGAGATTTTAGTTTTTACCTTTTTGTTGTTTGTGTAATAATTGAGGCGTTAAAGGCAAATAATTTTCCATGATTTGGGCCCGAATAATGAAATCTGAAATGAACATAAGATTGATATAGACGGTTTCAAGAAGTTTGGCATTGGAAATTATTTATTGCTTGTGCTGTCGTGACATAGGGTTTGATCAGATTTGAGGTTTCCGTTTAGTGCTGGTTTTTATCGTATATTATAACGTATGCGTAATTTTCCTTTTGGAAAAATGTTCGGCTTATGCAAAATCAGTTAGATCTACCATATGAGCAAGAGGTTATTACATTTAACTTTTTGTCATGTGGTCTTGAGATATCATTTTCTTGTCTTTTGTTTGTATATATCCTTCATATGAGCAAGAGGTTATAGCATCTAACTTTTTGTCCTGTGGTCTTGAGATATCATTTTCTTGTCTTTTGTTTTTATATATCCTTGTGAAATATAGCAATACAAGGCGGAATGTAGCTTATTAGGAGAGTGTCTTGTTGATTTTTTTAATCCAAGGGTTTTAGAATGAAAATTTAGCTTGTTTTAGTTGAAAGAAAAGATACTATGTAAGAATTAAGGGAAAAATATATTCGTAGAGGAAAATGTCGTGATGGAAGTCATTCTGTCCTTGTAGTCGAAATAATGTATACTTGGTATGAACCTTTTCGGTTATTTGACATATTCATGGTGAATCATTTTTCTGCCATACCAAACACACTGTTTGAGGTGTATTTAAATGGAGAGTTGGTATTCCTTTTGCATCTGCTTTCATTCTTTTTGACCAACCCTTAATACTTTTATTTGTCAGGTTTTGGGTGTTTGCAAACTTCTGATATTTCCAATTCAAATAAAACTGAGTGAGATGCAGGACTCAACTACCAGGGCATTTGAAAGCTCTTCTTCTTCCTCTGGAGATGGGAACAATGATGCTGGTGATTTTGAATGCAACATATGTTTTGAATTGGCCCAAGATCCCATTGTGACACTCTGTGGTCACCTTTTCTGTTGGCCATGTCTGTATAGATGGTTACGTCTTCACTCACAGTGCCATGAATGCCCTGTCTGTAAGGCACTTATTCAAGAGGAGAAGTTAGTTCCACTTTATGGAAGAGGAAGAACTTCTACTGATCCCCGATCAAAACCAATTCCTGGCCTTGAAATTCCTAGTAGACCTGCTGGACAACGACCTGAAACTGCTCCTCAACCTGAACCAAATCATTTTCCTAATCATGGATTTGGGCACATGGGAGGATTGTTTCCAACAGCAACTGCAAGATTTGGTAATTTTACTATGTCTGCTGGTTTTGGTGGATTGCTCCCTTCATTGCTCAGCTTCCAGTTTCATGGATTTCCTGGTCCGACAGCATATCCTACCGCATCAAATCACCATTTTGGATATACTCCTGCATATCACGGGCCACATGTTCGTAACGCTCAAGACACTGCTCAAGGACAAGCAGATAGCAATCTCAAGTTAATGTTTTTACTTGTTGGTTTTCTTGTGCTAATTTATTTGTTAGGCTAAAGAATGGATTCAGTCTATCCCTGATGCTAATGTTGGCTATCAGATTTTGTGCATGTGGATATGTCAATTCTGCACTCACCTTGAAGTTACTACTAACTTTGGTGATTTTATAGATGCGAGCACTCTGTTACTTTAATGTAACAAGTTTATATCTGTGTAATGTGTATATTTTGTATACTTAAAGTGGTTCTAGCTCGTTATTTTTGCACCTTCTGTTGGGTAAGGATACCAAAGTAACACATGCTCTTGATGGCTTGTAATGATTTTTGGTCATCTGCTTAGTTGGGTGGTTATAACCTCATTTGTTTGTGATGTTGGACAGTACGGTGAAGGCATATTTGTGATTTTTAGTTCTATTAATCATAGTTCATTCTCTAACCCCTGCTTTACCCTAAAGAAAATAGAGGATTTACGATAGTGGAATAGCAGTGTGGCTACTTGTGTTTTGATTTGAATTTGATTGATAATACTTTGCCCTTGAATAACGAAAAATTTTGCAGGGCTTCACGTTTGGTTGGTGTCTGTACAAAATAGGTTAGGGTGAACGTATGACAAATGTAATGATAAAAGCATTCCATGAGAAGTTTAGAAAATATAGTTGGATTAATGTGATAAGGTGGCAAGTCCTTGTCCAGTTTCCAGATAGTTCAGTTTCATCTTTAATGAGTTCTGTATGACAGTTTGGAGGAACTATTCTATTACCTCTTTGAAATGTTCTTTGCTCGTTTGCAGTGCCTGTTTTTGCCTACCTTGTGAACAGTGTCTACAGTAGATCAGATCAGTGATGAGGAGAATTTCCATTGTTGACAGGTATCGTCTTGACCGTCTCATAGTTGTATTCCTTTTTTATTGAACTGCTTACTGTTAGGTAGTAGTTATAATGGTGAATATTGTTAGGTTATCAGGTTGTGGTTTTGGGATCATAGATTAGTTACTTCTCAAATATTGCACTGATGTCAGAGAAAAAGTAAATAAGACAAGGAAAGATTTTTGAAAGGGAAATGGGATCAGATCACAAGTAGGTCCATCTGCATTAAAGTGAAACAGGGAATTCACATATATATTTGACTAATGCTTTTAATATTTTGTTGACTAATGCTTCACTACGAGGAGGTTTCAAATTAAATGAGTCCTTCTCCGTTTACAAGCTAAAGTTTCAATGATGTTTGGTACGAAGTAATTCTCCACTTTTACTTTACCAACCAACTAAAAAAGCTCTACAACAAAGAAATCATGACATTTTTATCTGCCAAAGATGCTCCCTTCGGACCATAATGGTTTACCTTAGAAAATCAACATATTCTTGAAAGTGATAAACATTACTACCAATTAATTAGCTTACAAAATATACCTATATATATTTCACTATTGTGATTGATTAGATTAACTTAACGCTCTTTTTAGTTACTAAAGAAAAATTTAAGATAAAATGTTAATCGAAGAAAGTTAACATTTAATATGTTTAAGGATAATAGCTACGAGCATGATTTTAAGGAACACTCAAATTAAAAATATGACAAGCAAAGTGATCAGCAGCAGTTTCTAAACAATTTACCCATCATTTACCTCTATGATTTTCTTGCGTTAACATTATTGGATTCATAGCTGAATTAAAGAGCAAGAACAGCTGTGTGCCAAAGTGAAAACACAAAAAGGTTCGAAAATATATCGTAACATTTAGAATCACAGTGCCTATTTCCTACTCACTATATATAGGTAATCAAATTGACCTTCTATTTTGACTAAAATTGATGTCAATTTGTTTCAACATTTTCTAAATTAAATATGTTTCTAATAATTATAAAGCAGAGCAAAGACAGTCGATGTGATATATTAGTTAGTTATATTAAAGAGACAAGATTTTAATTCCTGATAATGAGTAACTACACACTAATCAGTGTCAGTCTCCTTCAGTTCTGTTGGAACATCTTAAAACAATGAACATGTGAAATTAATATATACATTTATTCATCATTAGGGCAATTAAATGACAATTTCTAAACCATACTGGTCACTGCATTATTTATTCCTTCAATTAACCCTATAATATTTGTTCTTGTAAGCTTTCGTTTAATGCTCTCTTGATATTCATATATTGATTTTTTCATATCGACGATACTAATACTCTAATCTAGTCGCCCTTCCAAGACATGTGTGACAGTTGGTATCAACTAAATACTAATGAATGAGGAAGGTGAACATATGCCAAAATGTAATCTAGATATAAAAAAAAATTGCATTGTGTTTAAGCTTAGGTTAGGGCAATTAAGTCGTTTAGGGATAATAATAAATAAAGAGCATAGTATATATCTCAGTAGTGGATCACATGGGGCATGCATGCAGCAAGCTATATAAAGACGATAAGTCCCTATTACTTGTTACTTTGTTGCAACTATTAGATTCCACTTCCATTTCGATTTATGATAGATCTTATCGACCCTCTCTTCAATTCGTCCATGTGTAAATATCCATAAGGCAAATTTCAGTATAGATATAAAGTATAAACTATAAACTACTTCCTTTGTTCGATTTTCGTTGTCCACTTTCTTCTTTACATATTCTTTAAGATATCACAGATAAAAATTATTTTACTTATTCACCCCTTATGATTTCTTTCTTTTGAAATTTTACATACTTGTTTATACTTCAAAAACTTAATTAATTATAAAAATAATTAATATTAGTTTAATTTTATAAATTAACATAATTTGAGATAGTTGTTTGTAATATGATATACAACTATCATGGAGAGAAAGTACTTGACTAATGCTTTAATAGCTAAAGTTAGAAGTAGGTTTACAATTAAATGGGGAATGCCGATATTTATAGAAATTGCAGAATAGTACTAGTCCAATGGAAACTTTTCCAAATTTAATATCTTCTCCCAATTTTAATTGTCATGATCATTTTCCTTTTAGAGTTAAATCATAAAAATATTAATTAATATTTTTGATAAATTTTTTTATTTTTATTAATATACAAAATTACGATCTATAATATTTTCATATAATTTTTAAATATCTAATTTTTAAAAAAACTCATCGAATTTATCTTGGAGTAGAGCCAACGTTGAAATTCATTTCATTGGAGTTATTCTCCTTATGGACTTCAATACTACCGACCCGCTAAAGAGCACTAAAATAATAACTAAGAAATTGGGGACACTTCCATATTCAACTTCCACAGCATATCTTTTACCTCTTAGTTTCTATTTATTTTCCACTAAACATGTATAAAAATTATTCATAACTCAATTATTAAAAAGGGAAAATCCTATTGGCCAGAAAATATGGTAAATTTGGCTTGAATAGTATTTTATCTATGTTATTTTATCTTTTTAAATATTTACACTCTTTTCATTTTTAAAACCTTTTAATTAAAAAAATAAATTTATTTTAAAATAAAAAATTATAAACTTTCAAATTTTATGCCGCATTTTTAATATTGCCGTTCGATAATTAGAATTTATAATGATTTTGTCGCCATCCTAAAAATTTAGAATACATAGACTTTAAATTAAGTGAATTTCTAGTAGTTAATTATTAGTAGGTTCAAAATAAATGATTTTCTCTAAGTCAAAGAGATTATTAATCAACTTTTTCAAAAATTATTCTTCTCTCTAATGAGTTTTTCAAATCTCAAATGTTTACTTTTCACAAAAGTTTGGAAAAAGTAAATGGGCAATAATTTCAAATAACTCTTTACTTAATATATTTAATAAACTTTTATAAATGATGTCTCACACTCCAAATTCACTTATTTTGGTTTGAAGAATATTGCATCGTAACGCTATATTGGCAAAATCATGATTTTTGTTCTAAAAATGTTAAACCTAGTTTTGACATCTATTTTAAACTAACCCAAAAATTAAGGAAGAAAGCCCCCAATAAAATAAAGAGACCCGCATGAACTACGTGCCAACTGGCTTAGACCTTCTTATTGTCACGTGAGTCTATTTAGATTGATTTATTTTAATTATTTTTTCAATTAAAATAATTTAATAATATTTAAATAAATTTCAAAAAATCATTATGAGCATTTAATTTAGATCTAGAATAATAAAAATAAATTATGAATCATGATATTTGACTCATAAATTAAAACAAAAAAGTCAATTTACTTATTCCCAAATGAAAAATAGAATCCAGTAATAAATAAGTTGGTCTAAAACCCATTAGATTACTTTTTTTCTTTGACTAATTGAATTTATACAGTTTAAACACTGTACTTATAACTAAATAAATTCTTACTTATACCATTAATAAAGCGGGGCAAACGGAAGTTATTATAGGAGTAGTATATATATCTAAGGATGTTTGTGTGGCATGTTTTATAATTTGTCTCCCTGCTCCATTATGCCTAAACTTAGGGGCACCCCCCTCTGGTTCTTCATTTTCTCTTTATTATCCACACTAAATGGTACTGATTCTGCAATCACTGACACTGATTCCAATTCCAGTCTCCATTTTAAAGAAGCGCCGCAGTTCTATAATTCCCCGAGTTGTTCTTCAATTAATTCTTCAGTAAATGTAGCTATGACTCTTGATATAGCTTATCTCAGGGGATCTATGGCTGCTATTCTTTCAGTGCTACAACACTCTTCTTGCCCAGAAAACATTGTATTCCATTTTGTCTCTTCTTCATCTGCTGAATCCACACATTTGAACTTGACTATTACGAAATCATTTCCGTATCTTCAATTCACAATTTATCCAATTCAACATGTTGCAGCCGTAGCAGGACTAATTTCAACCTCAATTCGCTCTGCTTTAGATTGTCCTTTAAATTATGCTCGCAATTATCTTGCTGATCTACTTCCTCAACAACTTCAAAAGGTGGTTTATCTTGATTCGGACCTTGTTTTAGTAGACGACATTGCTGAATTAGCAGCAACGCCTCTAACAGGGGACTCTGTTTTAGCAGCACCTGAATACTGCAATGCTAATTTTACTACTTACTTCACGCCGACTTTTTGGTCGAATCCTTCTCTTTCCTTGACTTTTGCGAATCGAAATCGGAGGCCTTGTTATTTTAATACTGGGGTGATGGTTATTGATCTAGAGAGATGGAGAGCAGGGGATTATACTACTAAGATTGTGGAGTGGATGGAGTTGCAAAAGAGAATGAGGATTTATGAATTGGGATCTTTACCCCCTTTTCTGCTTGTTTTTGCTGGAAATATAGCTCCGGTGGATCATAGCTGGAACCAACATGGTCTTGGTGGAGATAATTTTCATGGACTCTGTCGGGATTTGCACCCTGGTCCAGTTAGTCTATTGCATTGGAGTGGAAAGGGAAAACCATGGGCTCGACTTGACGCCAATCGACCTTGTCCGTTAGATGGTCTATGGTCACCTTATGACCTGCTGCAAACACCTTATACAATTGAATCTTAAGGTACTTGAATTACTTTCAAATATTCTTTATTTTTTTCATGTAAGTTCTCAAATTTGCCTAATACTATTGTATGATTTCAGGTGTATTAGAGTTGACATCGAGAGTAGAGATCTGTGTCTTGTGATCCTCTTCGATTGTGTTATGGCGTAGCTAGTCACCCCAGAAGGGCTAGGTGAGGTCTACTATTTTTATAGATAATAGTATACAGTAGCTAGCCATGAATTCTTACATTGATAGAGTATTATTTTCGAACTTATGACATGAAATCATTTATGATATGAAATCTTTTAGTTGCGATCAATTAAGTTTATTAAAGAAAGGAAATAAGACGTAGCCTTGTCTGCTATATATAGTTCATGATATTCTTGAGACATACCATGAAATATAACGCACTTACTATTCTCACTCCCACCATTTTAGGCTTTTCTAAACAACAATTGAAAAAAAAGGACTACTGTTTGTTCATTTCATCTAAATATAGTATCCATTTCTTCACTTGTAAGCTCTTGTTCAATTCACCAAAGCATACTTTCCTTTTTTCTCTTTTTCTTTTTGCAATTAAAGTGAACCTCGTTCTATGATTTCCTTGTCATCATCTTTTATATAACTCACATTGGTGGAACCGTGGAAGTAAAAAAAAAAGAAAAGTGACATACGTGTATGTTTAGTTGGTGGCAGAAAAATAATTAGTATCATACCAAAAAATACTTATGCGTCGACCACACACATAATTTGATGAGGAAAAGAGAGAGGAGAAGAGTGTCGGCAGTGAGAGGGATTTGTGTGTGTTGGCGGGACAAGTCAGGTAGATTTTAAAACAAAACCACATGGATGAAACATGTACAGATTCTACAAAAGTCATTCCGCATTTTAAGCATTTCATATTAAATCTTGTCAGCGGCTGATTAAATAAAAAATAAAGTTAAGGAGCTGAGTGAGCTTAAGCCACTGCACATAAAGAATCATATAAGTGCAAATTCTGTCTTTTTCAACAGTTGGTTTGTAACATGTAAAGACAAGAATGTAGAAAGCAAAGTTTAAGAGGTAGTCAAATGCTCTAATTATGTGCCCTTTTACAAGTCAAATGAATTTATGTTATTTTCAAGAGCATGCTTTTATTGAGAAACTGTAATCAAGATTTTGTCGGTAAACATAACTTGTTAAGCCATAAGTTATGCCTCTGAATACGCAAATGGATTGCTATGAAGCCCAATACAAAGAGTCATGTCTTTATTGATAGTGACTCGTTATTTCAATAACTCATCTTATTCAATCATGAAGATGCTTCTTGAGATTGATGTCATTATATAATTAAATGGATAAAACTTTGCAAGTTAACATCAAGAAGTTTAAATGAAATTCCTTCTCCCTTAATAATTGAATTTGAACCCCCATGCCCTGCTATGGATCACTTCATGATGGTGCGAACGTATAAATAGATGATTAGTGATCAAACAGTCATATCGGATACCAAATGGTTATTGACAAAAAAAAAAAGTGTGCACTTTTAACTTTTTAGATTATAAGATAAAAGAGCATACACATGATATATTATTCAAAGACAAAAATTCAGAAATTGTGAAAATAAATCAAACCCACATGTGAAGTGATGTGCTGAAAATATATCCAAGTTACTAAAAGATTTTGAATGATCAAACAGCCACACATTGTTAATTGAAACGTCAATAATTTGTTCATGGTCACTGCTATCACAGCACCACGGTCCACATTCACACAATCATGTGGCTTTGAGTAAATAGAGTACATTGTTAAATGCAGATACGAACAAGTCATGCTGCTTCCTACGTTGATTTTTAATTGCACTCCCACCTTTAAGCGTGTACATTCTTGATATAACTTTGTCACAAGGAGCTAATTGACAAACATTAATTCATTGTCCTTGTTGTTTGCAAGGAGTCAAGGATAAAGATTAAAGTCTGCGAATTTTCACCTTGTCATTCAAAATTACGTACGCAGCTTTTCTGGACCAACAAAGAGGCCCATAAGCTTCACGTATCATTTGCAGGCCATATTCTTTAGGGAAATTCTTATATATTAAATTGAAAAAGTTGAACATCCATGACGATAAAAAAAAAAGTTACAAAATATAGCCCCTTATAGATTAAGACACAGCTCTATGATGTGAAAATGTAAAAAAACATGTAACCTTTCAAACTAAAGAAGATACGTAACAAGGTATGTGCTGGCTATATTAAACTAGAGGCATACGAGTTAAAAGAACCTTTCCAAAATTCTTCTACAGTTCAGAATAAGATTCTGATCACAAGATAGTAAGTTCATCACTAGTTACGAAACACAGGTTAATAAATTAGATAATTTTAGAAGGGAGGTAAGAGTCGATTACTAGGAGATTAGCTGCAACAGTCTCCCGAATTGGTTGCAGATCAGTGAGATCCCAAGGCTTTACAGGAGTATAGAGTAAAGTAGCCAACATCTAGCCATATGCTGTAACAATTTGTCCTCAATTTTTATTTGCTTTCTTGTAGGCTCCTTCGTCTTCTCTTCCATTGGAACTGGAAGGATTCTTTCGCAAGTATTTGTAGTAGACATATTGTAATATGATCTATACATGTGTTAAGGCCCGACAGTTTGGAAAAATGAATAAACTACTAGTAAGTGGTATAAGAAAAGAACAGATAAATGTGTTGTTTGAGAAATTGCCAAGACAAAACTGAAGGAGAAATGTGAGGATACAAATAAGTCGAGCACAACGCAGACAACAGCATCCAACAACCAAGGCATATTGGCTTTAATCTTACTCCATTCAGTAGATCTAAGTAGTATACTGCATCACGTGAACAGAACAAGCAAATTATTAAAAGGTTATTGAATGTATTTTAATGACAAATTAATTTTCATATATTCAGTACGATTTAACATATATATGTAAACAGAGCAAATATATTTAGAAATGTCAACTATACTGAGTTAAATAAAGGGGAAACTACCTCCCTACGTAAGTGATATTGGCGATGAGTGCAAATACGAACATGAAAGGATTTAAGCCCTGTTAATGGTGTAAAAAGAATGCACATTAGCCTTTTGCTTGATGCCCAAAATGCAAGTTTAAAAAAGTCCAGAGGAGGATTCTGTGCAATATTTACCTCGACACTCCCTCGTTTAATCTGTCAAACAAAGAAATATATTCAATGGCTTTACATTAGACAAAATAGGACTGCAACATTAACTGTTAGCATGTTCTTGGAACTATAAAGTGAAGAATCATGACTTACGTTTAACCATATTTGAGGTATCCGACCGCCCATGTAGACAGCAGCCATCATCCACCCCAAGCATTGGCCAAGTGCACTGTGCTCCGTCCCATGCTCCTGCCAGAAAAGAAATATGTCCGGAATCAGCCCTGAAACTTTCACATTATTAAGATGCAATTACTGAAGAAACATACTTGCAATAGTTTTCTTCCACCAAATCCAACAATTAAAGCCTTCGTCTGGTGAGGCATTCCAGACGCTGTTGCTAAGAACGCTCCATAACCTGCCTGAAAATCGTCTACCATCAAAATTTTTACCATCCCAAACCAAGAAAAATATATAAAATTACTTTTAGGTTTAAAATGAAACTACATCTCCAAAGTGGATTCAATTAAATTTTAAATTTCTTTAATTCATCGAAAAAATTATGGAAAAATGATTCTTTATTATGGAGTATATAAATTGTCAAATCCCTTTGAAATAAGGAAATTCTGATGTAGAGGACAGCGGTAAATTTAACTCAAAATCATTGAGCTCATATATTCGAATTTTAGGTGGGCCATACTTGCATTTTTTTCAGATCCCTTGAGGCTCCGCCGAGGAGAGGAGAAACCCTCTCAACTAGCCTTTGGGCACAATGACTGTGGGAATATATATATGATGCTTTTGGCATATACTCGGACCATCAATATTTCACATTACAATATTACATATATATACAGGAAGTGGACAAAGTAGAGAAACCCTCTCGACTTGGCTTTTGGGCATTATGCCTATGGGAATATTGGTTACTTGTCTCATATATTGGGACCAGCAATACTTCACAGTACATACAGTATGTGCACGATATTATAAGCAAGTAGAGACAGCAGAAATTTTCAACTTGCACTAAACTAAACACCAACACTAACAAATCAATAATATTATAAGCAAGCAGCGACATCAGCAAATTTTCAACTTGCACTAAACTAAACACCAACACTAACAAATCAATATAAGAATTAATAGAACTAATTCACTTACAGATCGCGGGATGGGCTTAGGTTGGCTAACAGAAATACTTAATGGTGCATCAACCGTATCATCATCTGAAGAGTAATTGTGGTTAAGCCCCACTGCAGACGGCTCACTTGCTATAGGCCTCAAATTCGACCTAAATGGCGGGGTTGAGCTGCCAGCCAATGATCTTGCAGACCTGTTCCCAGATATTTAAATACTTAGCAATAAATTAATCTAATTAACCCACCCGAAAAACTGACAACTTCCTCAGTTCATATTAACTTACCATATTTGAGAAATAAATTAACTACTTCTATATAAAAAGACATGTATCATGTGACACGGGAAAAATTGAGAAAAAAACACTCACATGAAATAGAAGTCCATGGGGCGTGATGCAGATCTGCAGGGTATTGGAATCCCAGAATCTGTTGTTTTTTGTGGTCTCAATGGCTTCTTCAGTACTTCTTCCACCTAATTAAAGTTAATCAAATCATCTTTCTTTCGTCGATTATCATGTCATTAAATTAATTAATCAGCTTGAGAATGTTTAATCTGTACCTCTAATTGTCGAGTTTCATTTTCACTGCGTTTCCAGCACTTGTAGAAATAATCATAGTACAAGATTTGCAGCACTAGTATGATAGTAGTCGCTGTGTAAAGCTGTTCCATATTTTACAGATGAGTAAAAATGAAAAACAAAACACCACTCGTATGATTAATTAGTAAATAAAAAGATTGCATTACCACAGCTGTGTACAATTGGGTTGGCAACTGCATGAAGAGAAAAGAACACCAAAAGATGAGAAAAACATTAATTAAACCAAATTAATTTAATGATATTTTAAGCTACTCACCGTTGCAGACTCGAGAAGGCAACCTGTTAGATTGAATACGTCACTGCATCGAACAAAATGGTGAGATTTATGGTTCTTAGATATTGTGAAACTGAAGAAAAATGGAATAATGACAGATAAAATTAATTACCCAACAACCCAACCAAGAAGAAAAAGAAGTGAAACACCACTGCTGGATTTGGTTCGAAAGTTGGTGACAATTTGTGGGATTTCGGCAACAGCCCAACAGATTAGGCTTACAAAACCAAAACCGAAAGAGAATTCATCACGGACATTGCAAAGGCAATCTTTGAAATACAAATTCACCCAACCAACAACGCATGGTTTGTTCTCTTTTACACAATACGCTATTGAATTCTGCTGCTGTCGTAACAACATAAGTACCTTCATTTTTTAATTTCTTTCTACAAATGATGAATCGAACAGTACTAAACTGAGGGACACATACATATATATATATATAGCATTAACCCCTCCGAGGTCGAATAGTAAGTACTCAAAACTAAGAAGACAAATAGGAGTAAAACAAAAACATGCTCGGAGTTTGTAACCTTGCTGCGTTGCTTTTACGTTTCTGCCCCTCAAAACTACGGGGCAAGTTACTACCTATTCTTGTGGCCCGTAACTGCTGGGAGCACTCGGAAAAGAAATCTATAGTACTCGATTGAGTTTTTTTCTTTTTTTTTTTTCATGCGAATGCAATAGATAAATTTATTATTTAGTTGAACAATTCTTTTAACCCTTTATTATGAAATTTTTATCATTTATATAGACACAGTATTTATTTTATCATCAATTATTGTTTTTAAATGATTTTATTCATTGACACGTTTAACAAAAAAGAAAAAGATGCTCATGCTTTGTAATTAAACAATGCTGTATGAATATTTAATACGTAGTTTGTTTAAAAAAAAAAAAAAAGAAAGCGTAATTTGTTTGTATATTATCGAATCAAAACTTTATTTTCAACAAATGTTCGGTATTAATCGTTGACAAATTACCTGTAAGATGACAAACATATTGCTAATTAAACGTTTAATGTATTAATTTCATTAAATTCAATTATTATTAGTATTATATATGCTACTCTTCTTAGTTTTTTATTTTATATATTAGTCTTACCTTTCGATTAATGACATATAATTGAAATATAGAAGTATGTTTTATGTCAATATGATATACGCGGCAGAAACTGTGGCTCTAATGCAGCACGCAGTAAAAGACAAGATAGCTTAAATAGCTTTTGGCATTTTTTTTGTTTTAGCAACATTTGACATTAATGTCAGTAACTCTTCAGTAATGCAAAGGGGACCTGAACTAATATATGGACTGCACCCTTCTGATTATACGAACCATTCTTGTAAAAGGAGGCATCATGTTGAATTAGACACGCTATATTGGCCGGGTTCAACTACTCCTAATTTTCACTATCAATCCTGGAGTTGTACAGTATTTGCTATATCATCAAACATTAAGTACAAATCAAGCCAGGGTATGTACGCCTAGTTAAGTTGTGACCTATTATTTTATTGAAGAAAAAGCCTGATAAGTATACTATCTTCGTTCAAAAAAGAAAATTAATCTTTATCGAATTAAAATAGAAGTGATTTTCAAATTTAATCATTTCTTAGATTATGGTAAATTGTATCGAAATCATTTTAGTGAATGGTTGCCTTGTAAACCTATTTTTTTCATAAATGTATTTTGGACATTTTTTTAATGTATTCAGAATCTAATGAAATACGTAAAATTTCAAAATAAAGTATATTTAAATTATTAGCTTCTGAAATTTATACAAGTTATTCCCGTTTTGATTTACTTAATTTGTTGAATGCACGCAAGCAGACAGAAATAGTACGTCGAATTTTTTGATTTATTACTCTCAACTTGCCATTGCTTTTGAACAGACGACCTGTATTCCACTTGATGAGCAGGGCAGTATGGGACAGAAGAGTCGATGGAATGGGGCAATTCATCATTATCCTTCAAAACATATTAACTCTTCACCTGCTAAATCAAAAGGAACATTTCAGGATTGTATAGTAGCTAACGACAAAAGACGTTTCCACTTTCATATATGCGGCGAACATGCGCTGCGTCAATTAGATAACTTCGACACGTATCCACCCGCATTTTACACTTGTTCCCAATCCCTATATGCATACCTTTTCTAGTAACAATTCAATGATGTTTATCCTCAACTATCTTAAATCTCTGACATGGAAGGGATTGAATACGATTAGGAAAATGGAATGAAATACTTTACATCTAATTTAATTTCAATAACTAGAGAAAAAATTGTTACATTTGCTCAGGAAATATATCTCGTCACTACGTAATGGATTTGGGAATTCTCTTTGTCCTCTTGTTTAATGTTTTAATGTAGCTGTATTCGTTGCATATGGAATACAAGTTCATTTTAAATTTTTCCAACTCCAAAATCAAATCTGTCCAAATTTAGAAAGAAAAGACTATGTCACATGGTCTTACTAAATGCGTACTATTATGCGGATGAGATTCTCCAACAATGCATTATCACTATCTTATTATCTGTGAAAAAAAATAAAAAGGATAACAAGTTGTCATATCAGCCAGCATTCTGAGCTACATCACGTCGATAAAATTACTTCATCCTAATAGCTCAATCTTTTCATCCTAAACACCACATACATTGGAAACCTTCCATTCCCGGTCTGATGATAGAGCAATCAACTTACGCCAAATGGAACTTCTATGCGTTCAATAATGCTCCGCAATCCAGATTCATAGGTAGGGTAAAGCAGATTCACTCCCAGTTCCGTTTTAATGCGTTTATTGGAGACTCGCTTCTCTCCCCTTGAACCTCCCTGCGGGATTAGAGACTTTACCTCTTCAGCAGAGTTGTTGAAGATTAGGTGGCCTGGCCATTTCTCCTCAACCAAGTTCCTAGCAAACTTAAATACCTGCTCTCTAGGAGCAGGATCGTCATCAACTACATTGTATATCTGCCTGAAATGCCAAACCAGACAATTAACTGATTAAGATGAAACTTACAAGATAATTAAATAGAAAGCTGAAAAGTACCCCCCATCAAAATGACCTAAAAGTTATTGCACATAGAAACCCCTGAGCAGAAGCAAATACAAAAGTGTGCTAAAGCTTCTTCTAATCCAGTTTTATGCGGACAAGGTATTACCAACTTCAGAGGCATGGTTTATTATTATCTTGGTAGTAAAGGAAGAAACATAAATCGTACATTTAAGACAATCTAATTGGATGAACAAAGAGTAGTGTTATTGAAAATGGGTACCCAGGAGATGGCCTCTGTATGCTGGCCTTAAGAGCCTGACAGATGTCAGCAACGTGAATACGTGAGGTATAATGCCTGGAGAATCTCATCTTCTGACCTTTAGACAGAGGCTCTTGCTTGAGAATAGTGTCAACAGCACTGCAATAAAACATTAGTAAAAGTAAGCCAGATTGCAACTAAATCAAAGAGTGCTTCATTAGATTAAAACTGCTGGATGCAGCATATCCGGAGAAAAACAATTGCAATGTCCAATTAGAGTAAACATGTCCTCATAGCAACCTTCTACCAGGACCATATATGCCACCCAATCTAAATATTTGGGCAGAGACCCTTCCATCACAAGCCAGATGTAACCATCCTTCCTCTGCAGCTATCCTTGCTTTGGCCAATTCAGTCGTCGAGCTAGGTGGAAACCTGAAATACGGTAACATATAAATCTAGGATGACTACTTCGAATGCACCAAAGAAATTGAGTGCTTGATTAACGTAGACTTACTCTTCATCAACCAATGCACCACCAGAGTCTCCATAAACACCTAATAATCCAAAAGGGAAACAAATTTCTTAGGATCAGTAGTCAATAACAGACTTTGTGAATACAGTCTGTCCAAAGAAGTAGTTTTACCATGTAGCAATGTGATTAACAATACAAACGCAAAATTTCTTCCTGCAATAGTTAAAAAAGACATACCTGTTGATGACAAGTAACCAAGCCACTGGAGGTTACCATCCTTTAGTCTTTCTTTTAGCAATTCTTTATGCCGAAGCATCTGCAGTACACACAACTATTACTAGATATTCAAGCTAGTGGAAAGGTAAACTAAAAACTTCTCCTACAGTTTTTCATGATACCATATAGCTCCATTCCATTCCAGATTCTACAGTTACATAGAAAGTTTTATGGCTTCGGTGCATGAGTTTACCTTATTTTTTAGATTCAAAAGTAAAGAATCTTCAAATAAATGATATTGCTAACTATTGAGCATAATAGCAAAACGTAGCTAAGAAGAAGAATTCCACACCTAAAGAAACACAATAAAATTAAGATAAACGATAAGAAGAAACAAAATTAACTTCTATTCTTTTTTATCATAGTTCATTTGAATATCGTGACCAAGAAAAAGTCGTTAGGAATATCTAGTATGAACATCATCAATAAACACGTCAACATGGAAGGTCTCTACAATTAGCACGACCTATGTCATATTGCTTACTATAACAGCAGCATAATACTGAGTAAATTTACCGGATCACCAACACCCAAAACTGGAGGGATGGAGATAAGAAGATGTGAATGGAATTTCAAGATATCGAGGACTTCCTGTCTGAAAAAGAGCATAAACACTTATCAGAACAGGGGGGAGATAGAAAGAGTGTTTCTTCTATAAAACCGCCTACAAGTATGGAGGTTGAGATATGTGACCCTACATTACACCCTAAATCAGAAATCAATGAACACATTAGTCTGGATATAAGAAACACAACCTAACTTTGATCTTATTTGGATGAAGTAACTATTACAACAACAGTGTGAGAAAAAACTGAATCAAAGAGACTTAATTGCTACTTAACAAAGAAATTTATCATTCACTTCATTCATGAAAGTATTGTGTACTGTATATTTTGTTTGAAAAAGGAGTAAACACAAAAGGGAAAACCAACAACAGCTTAGGAGTTCTTGCCATTAAAGTCTTTGCTTCACATTCTAATTCTCCACCGATTCGAAGTCTACACATTATGCATTTATCATTTGAAGTCACTTCCCTAGTTAAATAAAAACATGGTTTGCCTCTATTCCTTTAGATTTTGAGAATTCAATTATTCTCTAGTTGTTTTCATTATACTATGTCTTTTTATCGTATCATTTTCTGGCCATTTTAGCCATTGATTAATGTCCAGTAGCAGTTACGTCATATACAGCAAAATCCTAGTGTGTTATTTTAAGAGGCGACTAGTTGCATCCGAAAGGATTGATCCATATTCAACTTTAGACAAAATTTGCAGCAACGACGTACTTAATTTGTTATGTTAAAAGAGTTGAGGACGAAGCTTCCAATAACAGTAGAGTTATGTTCTGAGTTCTGACCAAAGAACATTTATATGAATAAGAGAGATGACATGAAAACTCACTGTGGTTCATTGGCGTCAAATATGTGCGCATGCAACCCCATTTCCTCTAATTTCTTCTTCCGTGCAGTACTGGTACAAGTTCCTGTAACTTCCCTACGCAATACACAAATGTTAACAGCTTGCTTCTTTTCACAACTTCAACTACACAAAAAGAGGAAAAGGAGATCAAGGATAAGTCTTATTCACCATCCATTGCTTTTCAAATCTGCAGCCAAGAATTTTCCTACGAAACCCATCCCCAGAATGAACATTCGATTTTTCAAATCCGGATTTTTAGTGCTGGATTCTTCACCTACACTGCATTTAATATTGGATGAAAACTGTGGCGTTTTAATAGAATATATTCCGGCAGTTTGACCCTGCCGGAGATGAATAACAGCCGGTTGATTTGGCAGCCGGCAAATCTCCATTCCAGATAGCTCTATGCTCTGAAACTTGCAGGTATTGGTAAACTTAAACAGAAAGCTCGTAAGCCCGTCCCAAAGCGCTTTGGGCTAATAATATATGGGCCGTATTGGTGACTTGGTGCTAATCGGCCTCAATAAAAAGCCCAAGTATAAAGGCTTCAGTTTTTCTCTTCTTCAAACCACCAACCAAATAGGTTTAATGTAAAAAAATAATTTTCCTCCTTGCTAATTGACGTGACATTATATATTTCTATATTTAATAATAATTTATTTATATATTTTATTTTATTTTAATAAAATAATTTATAATTATACAAATATTTAAAAATTTATATTAGATAACAATTTTTAAACATTTTACTTTCGTTCTTAAAACTCTGAATTTTGAATTAAATATCATCACATAAATTACGACACAAAAAGTATACTTCTCAAAAATTTCCATCCAAAGAACTTCTTCAAAACTTATTTCTAAAAGTTGACCAAAAGATTTGAAGGAGTCAAATTAGTAGGACAATATCTCCACTTGAATAGTTGATGCTCGAGTCAATTTCATTCAGCGGCTTAATACCTCTCCACAATCCACACGCTTTCTTGCCTACAAATAATTTTCAGGTGGGCCAATTGCTCCATTTTTTCCATTGTAGCCTAACTCTAAATGTTCCCTCCTTTTTATTCCTTCTGATATTCATATAGTTTTTATTTTTGAAATCAAATAAAAATAATTTTGATTAACGATTTACGATATATTTTCTTATTATATCGATATGTAAATAATTATTTTTCTATAATTTTTGAATATTCAAAATTTTTTATTTAAAACATAAAATTTAATCAAACCAACTTTTAAAAAATTCAACATCATAATTAAAAAAAGTGAATAGAAAAATACAACTTTTATTTATTTTGAGACGTTGACTTGAACGTCCACCTTTTTGGGATGACTAACAGAGATCACAATGACAAAATGCACAGCCTAGATATATTCGTCTATGGAACAGTACACCTCTAATAGCGATGGGTCTGGTAATAAACACAATATTTAATCTTCAAGGGTCAACCACCAAATTATTTGTGATTAAATATTACTCCTATAATCCTATGTGGTTCATCAATTATTCTCTTCTCACATAATATTCCTACACGCATTTACGTTGACTTTTTCTTTTGAAACATTATTAATGCCGCGTTGGTATTTGATTATTGCCTAAAAAAATAGTAAAATTTGTGCTACGCTTATATAACAAAACAACAGTCTCTTGAACTAATGTTTCTTGATTCTAATGAACTGAAAATGAATTATTCTCATCTCATCTTTGTTTTTACCATCATTCTTGCTTATTCCTCTGTTTCAATTCTTGCACAACAGCCTTATTTTGGAACTGGAACAAATGACTGCAGCAGCCAAGATACCTCCACTTCTGCTTTTGGGTATTTATGCAATGGCGTTAACCGTACTTGCCAATCTTATTTGACCTTCAGATCTCAACCCCCTTTCAATACTGTGTCCTCAATCTCTTCTTTACTCGGTGCTAATCCTTCACAGCTCTCTCAGCTCAATTCTGTTTCTCAAAATGCTACCTTTAACACCAATCAAATGGTTCTTGTTCCTGTCACTTGTTCTTGTTCAGGTCAGTTTTATCAATCAAATGCATCTTATGTTATCAGAAGGGATGATAGTTTCTTGAATATTGCAATGAATACCTTACAAGGATTGTCAACTTGCCAAGCTATCAACGCGGAGAACAGTGAACAAGCTAACAATCTTGTTGTTGGTTCAAGAATTAATGTTCCTCTGCGATGTGCTTGTCCTACACAAAACCAAACTAATAATGGTACAAATTATCTGCTTACTTATTTGATTGCTTCTGGGGAATTTGTTTCCTTTATTAGTGATAAATTTGGGGTGGATTTTAGGGCAACTCTTGCTGCTAATAGTATACCAGAAGATGCTCCTACTGTCTTTCCAAATACTACTCTATTAGTTCCTTTATCGACCCCACCTTTGAGTTCCCAAGTTGCTGGACCATCTCCACCACCGCCTCCTGCGACAACACCAACACCACCTGCTGTCCCTGTATCGGAGAGCAGCTCGAACAAAACTTGGATATATGTTGTCGCTGGTGTTGTTGGAGGACTTGTTGCTTTGTGTATTCTGGGGGTGGTTGTTTTCTTTTTGTTTTTCAGGAAAAAGGAAAAGAAAGCTGATCCACAGTTTGTTTCTGAAAGCTTTGAAGCTGTTGAGAAACCGTCGAATAAGAAAGTTGAAGAAGAATCAGAGGAGTTTTTGGAAAGTTTATCCAGCATAGCTCAATCTGTTAAGGTTTACAAGTTTGAAGAGGTTAAAGCAGCCACAGAAAATTTCAGTCCTACATGTTTGATTAAGGGATCTGTTTATCGGGGCACGATAAATGGGGATTTTGCTGCTATAAAGAAAATGAGTGGTGATGTATCAAAGGAAATTAATTTGTTGAGCAAAATCAATCATTTTAATCTTATTAGTCTATCGGGAATTTGTTTTCATGATGGTCACTGGTATCTTGTATATGAATATGCTGCCAATGGACCATTAAGTGATTGGATATGTCACCATAATGGTGAGCAGAAGTCACTAAGTTGGGCACAAAGAGTACAAATTTCTTTTGATGTGGCTACAGGACTTAACTATCTCCATAGCTACACATCCCCACCTCATGTTCACAAGGATTTAAACGGTGATAATATACTTCTTGATGGTGATTTAAGAGCCAAGATTGCTAACTTTGGTCTAGCAAGGTCAGCAGATGGACAAGAAGGTGAGTTTGCATTGACAAGGCACATAGTTGGGACCCAAGGCTACATGGCACCTGAGTATTTGGAGAATGGGCTAGTCTCACCGAAGCTGGATGTCTATGCATTGGGAGTTCTGTTGCTGGAGATTCTCACCGGGAAAGAAGTTTCCGCTTTATATGAAGGTTCAAACACAAACTTGGCTGAGTTGTTGATCCCGGTGCTTAATGATGATAATGCAAAGGAGAGTTTGAGCAACTTCGTTGACCCTTCTCTGCAAGGGAAGTACCCTGTGGAACTTGCTTTTGCCATGGTCAGATTGATCGATAACTGCCTAATGAAAGATCCCTCACATCGCCCTAATACGGATGAGATTGTGCAATCTGTTTCAAGAATTATGACAGCCACACACTCATGGGAAACGTCATTTAGCACTTCAGTGTCACCACATAGATTGCCCTAGATCAATGATTGTTTTTCTTTGTTGTTTATTTTGTTTTTGTTTTTTCCTCCTTCCACATCTAGCATGATTTGTTATGTGCAATTGTTATTACCTTGTTTATGAATTTGGAAGAGCTATTGCACCATTTATCCTACATAAAAATCAGTTTAACATTTCAGTCAAGCCACCTTGTGCTCTCTTACTTATATTCTTTCTTGCTCTGAGTTATGCATGTCCTCCTCCTCATGTTCCAGATACGTTACAAGCGCTAATAGGTCCTGGCTTTAACCTAGAAAAACAAAGTTACTTCATACATAACAAAGATCCTGATAACTGGTTTTAAACAACAGAACTAAATCTACCTTGAATCATAGATCAAAGAAGCAACTTGCTGGCTTTACCTTATAGTGACAATGGATCACTGGGCCTGTCTTTTGTTTATGCATCTCGTATTGTTGGTAGGTATACAACTTGTGAACACAACAGGTCAAGCTTGTTTATAAAGCTATGTTGTATCTGTAGAATCAGCTGAACGTAAATTGAGTATAAAGAAAAGCTAACTGATTGAAGGAATATACCTTTATGTTCCCACTGATGCCACAATTATGAGCTAGTCTAGCCGTCTGAAAACTAATTATTAATAAAACCGTCTTTGAGTTCTAGAATTTGCTGGTCAAGAACAATAAAGTATTAGAAGGCTTTTGCATATGATGATGATGGCATAGGTATGTGATCAACAAGAAGATGAAAGTGGAAACATTGACTTGTTAGCATTCAAATGCAATGATTGAATACATATCTTGGGCAAAATGAAGGCAGGGCCGGCTGGTTTATTTGCTTAATTTAATGTGACTTGACTTTGTTCAAAAAGGACAACAGGCTAGTGGTTGTTATTATTATTATTATTATTTATTTATTTATTTATGGCCCCTGAATAGAAAGCGAATACCTGTGCAATAACGTGATTAATGTATATTCGAGCTTCTTGTAATCAAATGATTTATGACAGGTATAATACCAGTGGTATATTAAGTTGTGATCATTTTGGACTAAGATCCGGTTGAGTCAGCAGCAATATGGACAATGAGGATTCAAATAGCTGATCCAACTTGCATAGAATTGAGCATAGTAGGAGTTGTTGCTCTTTATATCAAGTTGTGATCAAGTTTAGAGTCTGCTGTCTTAGTTTGCTTTAGCAAAATAATTCTTTTTGGCGCATCTAGTGATCTTACTTTTCTGGGTAAAATATTTATTCCTTGAGTTATTATGATGGACGGCACCTTTATAAGCAGTTGCATCTTAGTTTCTTGCAAGACTGTATAAAACAGAAATTACACGCTAGACCAGCTCAATCAAGCAAGGTCAACAGTTGATGATACAATACATACCGTCTTAGAGAATGATATGAATAGACATTTTGAAACTTCCCGTTTATGCTAATTGTTTAATAGTTAAATGTGGAAAGCCCTAATGGTTGTTAAATGAAAATGTCGTTTAACTAGATTATTGTTTCATTTCGTAAGTGGTCTGCATCAATGTGGTGGCTTCATATTGTCAATGACATATGATGTTTGACTTTACATTGAAGAATATTTTGTGTTTTCACTTGAATTACACTGGCCATAAGGGCATGTACCTCAACTTTCTCAGCTGCCATTGGGTGACTCTGAGACAATAGCATACCATGGGTGATTTTCCACTTATCTTTTTCATAAGTTCCATCATTTTAGCTTCAAAGGTCTATGCCCAACAAAATTATTCAGGCAATACTGTCATGAGTTGTAAAGGAACCAATGAAACAGGAACTACTGCTTCTTTTCTCTATTCTTGCAATGGTGAAAAGTTCTCCTGTCGATCATTCGTGATTTTTAGATCAGATTCTCCTTATAATACTGTTTCTTACATCTCAAAACTCCTATCTTCGAACCCTGATGAGATTGTCCACATCAACAATATTTCAAGGTTTAAAATATTGGATCAGAACCAAGAAGTTATAGTTCCAGTAAATTGTTCATGTTCAGGTCAGTACTATCAGGCTGACACCTCTTATGTTATACCAAGCAAATATGATACCTATTTTCGCATCGCAACCAGCACGTATCAGGGGTTATCTACTTGCAGTGCTGTTATGCATGAAAATGTCTACAATGCACTGGATCTGTTTCCAGGTCTAAATTTGCGGGTACCACTCAGATGTGCCTGTCCTACAAGGGATCAGTCAAGAAATGGTGTGAAATATTTGGTGACTCATTTGGTTACATGGGGAGACAACGTTTCTAGCATTAGCGCGCAGTTCAGTGTCAGTAGTCAAAGTACAGCATATGCAAATGGATTATCTGAAAATTCAGTTCTTTATCCTTTCACAACAGTACTGATTCCTCTGCCAAAAGAACCTTCAAGCTCCGAAACAAGGACAATTAAGAGAGAACACACTGAAACTTCTTACCCTTCTAGGCACAAAATATCATACGGCAGTCTTTTCATTGGAGTCGGAACTGGTGTTTCCCTTGCAGTCCTCTGTTTTATCTTGTTCATTGTCTTAAAACATAAAAAGGAAAATGGAAGAGGTGAAATACTTGGGAACAGAAGACAAGGGAAACAAAAAAGGAACTTGCCAGAACATGTCCTGGAAAGTATAGTTGGTGAAGGTCAAATGATCAAAGTTTATGAATTTGAAGAACTGCTGGCTGCAACTGAAAACTTCAGCTCGCGAAAAAAATTTGGTCATTGTGTTTATAAAGGGGTCCTTCGAGGAAAACTGATGGCCATCAAGGAGATGAGCACAGACATATCAAAGGAGGTTAAATTTCTTGCAAAGATCAACCATTTCAATTTAATTAGCCTCGCTGGTTTCTGTAAGCATCATCAACTATCCTATCTTGTTTTCGAGTTCATGGAAAATGGATCTTTAAAAGAATGGCTTTTCAAGGATGATAACCCCGAGGCTCAGAGCTGGAACTGCAGAATTCGTATTGCCTTAGATATCGCTGATGGTCTAGATTATATTCATAACTTCACAGCTCCAGCTTATGTGCACAATAACATAAGCAGTAACAGTATCTTACTTAACAGACATCTAAGGGCCAAGATTTCAAATTTTAGCCTGGCGCGGTCAGCTAACAATGAGGGAAAGGTAACTTCATCTATGAAATTCATCGAGGGAAACAATGGTTACATGGCACCAGAGTACATTGAAACTGGTCAGGTTACTCCCAAGATAGATATCTATGCATTTGGAATCGTTTTGTTGGAGATAATTACAGGAAAAGGGGCTGTTTTTGAGCAGGATGGAAAAGAAGTACTCCTGTCAGAGACGGTGCTTGAAAGTATGGATGAAGAATCTAAAATTCAAGAACTCACAGATCCAAGGCTACAAGTTAAGCACCCTCTTGGTTACATAATTCAACAGACTGATCTCGTTCTTCGATTGGTGAGATTATGTGCAGCATGCTTGACGATGGAACCTGAAAGAAGACCAAGTGCAAATGAAGTAATATCTACCTTACTCAAAATCCAGTCAGATGTACAAAACTAGAGAACTTGTGTACAAAATGAATAAGTGCTTATATGTTATGTTCAGACAGGTCCCAACAGTGAACTTTTGTTTCTTAAATGTAAAGTTAAAGACTTGGGTGTGGCCTCTATACTGTTCATCTAGTCCCCTTTTCCTTCCTTTTCTCTTTTCTTAGTTTTCACTCAATGGGCTCTGACTCCCAAAATATTAATTCTTCATGGATGCCATCAACTGTTTCAGTTGCAAGAAAAATGCAGAGAATAACCAGACACAAGGACTGCAATATGCATTAAATTGTGGAGAGAGCTCATCGTTCCAATTGCATCTTTTATGTAACTATAGCTTTGCTTGTAAGATTCTCTATTGTCGTATATGGATTCTCTCTATCCTCTTAGCTCAATCTAATGAATTTAGTGATTCATTATAGTTTAACTATTTTTACTATGACCCGCCATCCTAATGCAATCCTCCTCTTTTCTTGTAACTTGGAACAAAGTTTGTAGAACTAGCACAGTTGAAATAAGCTGAAGAAGTAACTCAACCAAAAATGTTTCTGAATAAGATGAAAAATAGGCGAATACCACCATATAATTACAGGGTCTGGCAAACACAATTAACTCCATATAATTGCAGGAGCATGCAAATAAGATATAATTGGATTAGGCCTACATGATCTATCTTCCTCTTCTCCACAATAAAAATGAAGCACCTTTTGGTGGACGATAAGAAAACAAGATACTTGTGCATCAATATGTTTGGATTTCCTTTATATGAATAAGTATATGTAACGATTCAAAAATTTTTTTTTATATAAATAAGAATAAATAAGTATTTAAAGGGCGTAATTGTCCTTTCACGTTTTAAATGAATAAATAAATAAATAAATCAAAAACAGATTTGTATTTATTTATTATTTGACTGATTTTTGAATTAGTCTCCTAATCCAAATAGTCCTCTCTCTCTCACGCTCCTTAACTCTCTTTCTCACGTTCTCCATCTTCATCACATTATTTCTGCCAAAAATATCAACAGTTTTCATGCTTGAAAAACTCACAAAAAATTTTCAAGTAAAAGAAAATAAGTAATCAAAACGTCAAGGCTAAGAGAGGTTCGTCGAGAGAGGTGTGCGTTGAAGTGAATTGGGAGTGGTTTGGAGGAGTTTTCCGGGCAGCAACATTAAAGTTTGAACATCGATTAAGGTATGGGTTTCTTCTCTCTTGGCTCCTTTCCCAAGAGGCCCCTTACGATTCAAGTTATTCATCTCGAAACTAAGGCTGTTTCCCGTTGCATGCCCCTGTCACTAGCTCCCAATGAATTTTAGGTTGGGTATGATTGCTGGTAGATTTAGATGTATATTATGTTTTCGCGATGAATATGATTATGTTTGTGTACTTGGAATCGTATGAAAGGCAACCATGTTTTTCTTGAAATTATGTGTAAGTATGTTACAGTGAATGAGGTTCTTTATGTAATGCTCCAAAAGTTTAATGTAATATGATTGTATATTTTTCGTGAATAAAATGGGGTAAGACGTGAAGTTCATATGAAATGTTAGGTGGCTTGATTGAGGGAGTAATTCTTGGTTAGACGAATCTATAAAAAAAAAAATATAATGTGTAATTAAAACATTATGAATGAACCATGAAATTTCCCTAAGAATTAATGTTAAACTTGATGAAAAAGTGAAGAAAAATCGTAGAATAAATTTCCAGAACTTGAAAACAGACTTTAAAAGAATCTGGAAATTTTTTGAACATCAAAAGAATTAAAAAAAAAAGTTTTGAGGCCTGCAGGGATCGAACCCAGGACCTCCCTGCAGCATGCCTTAATTAAAAAAAAATGGGGCTGGCAGGGATCGAACTCGCGACCCCAGCCACGCGCAAAAAAAAAAAAAAGATTTAAAAGGGAATGCTGGGGGCGGGGATCGAACCCACGACCCCCAGTTCGCGAAAAAAAAAAAAAGGAATAAAAAGGGATGTGAGGCGTGGGGATCGAACCCACGACCTCAGAGTTGAAGGGAGGGGTACAAATATTAAGGAAATAAAGGTGAGGCTGTGGGGGTTCGAACCCACCACCTCACAGCCTCCATTTCCAGCGAAAATAAGAGAAAAATAAAGGGGGCTGTGGGGGTTCGAACCCACAACCTCCCTATTCAAGCGAATGTAATTAAAAATAATAATAATAATAAATTAAAATTCTAATTAAAGTTAAAAAAATTAATTCTCTTATGTAAACATTGAGATTTAATTTAGAATTTTAATTAAAAATAGAATATTAATTCTTTTATGTAAATATTGAGATTTAAATTGGAATTCTAATTAAATTAGAAAATTATTCTTTCATCTAAATGATTGAAATTTAATTTAGAATTCTAATTAAAATAAAACAATTTATTATTTCACGAAAATGTTGAGACTTAACTTAGAGTTCTAAATTTATGAATATTAGAACAAAAATCAATGAAAAATATAAATGATATCCAAATAATTCAAAATTTGGGTTCTCGTGCCCAAACCTCCGTATTGATACATAAGTCATACGTGAGTAAAATATTCAAGAATAATGTAATCTACTTTGATCAAAAATCAAGATCTTGGTATATATACAAGATACATAAGTCTTGTAATACATAATCTTAGGAAAATAAGAATCACTTAACGAACTATAAACGAAGCCCCATGGCTTGTATGTATAGACACATAAGTTTAACATACGTTCAAAAAAATAAGTGAACCTAAGATGTACGTAATGAAATGAAGAATGTGGTGACAATCATGATGTGAGGCTAATGTATATGGAGAGAGCAATCTCAAACGAGCCTAAGTAAATGTTACCAATACGTATTCATCAATGAGGGTGTAAGATAATGAAGAGACCAGTCTCTATAAATACTTTAATGAAAAATATTGAGTTTAAAACACTTAATACTAATAATGAGATGAGAAATCATCTATTGAGCTATGATGCCCTCATACTAGAAGACAACTTCCATGATGTATGAGTTGGATGTAATGGAACTTTATACTGAGCACCGATAGGCTAGCTATGAGCGGTGATGCCTTCTTTCGGGAAGGGCGGAGTTTCACGTAACTCTCATGAGATGAGACTGTCCGGCTTGCCGGGTATGGGTCTCCATACATCTCCTAGTCTTTGAACCTATATTGCCACTATAGGGATCTGGCGGGGTTAAATTCCCATATACGCTAGCATGTTATTGAATCGCTTTGGCCGGTGATTCCACCTCTTTTCGGTGTGGGGAAGACACTGGATTTCATGATGCTCACATGATCTATGTCGGTTAAAGTTAAAGTTCCCAATGAATGAATGAGGCCAGCCTCAAATGAATCATATAAAGAAATGAATGATACCGAAGGTGTTAGGATAGGATAATCAAGAGGTGAGCTAGATTTAGGTAATGACATTAGGTCATTCCTGATCATTGCACAGCAAACCCAATGGAAGTCTTAAACTACATCCTAGGTATAGCTGGTGTTCGCACTGGCCTATGAATGAATTGAAATGAAATACGAACGAATGAATGAAGCAGGCTCTGTGTTTGCTGAAGAAGGCTCCCTAGTTGAGGTCCCATATGTTGAGCCCTCATTTTGGGAAGTCTTAAGGTTAAGTCTATGATAGTAAGGTCTCATGGTATATGAATGAACAATATGAAAGAAACTATGTGCTATATGTTATGTGTTATATGAAGATATTATGTGTTGTGTGCCATACAATAACTATAATGATGCATGTCACTCTCGTGGCATAACCTTCCTAATCTCATTTTAGCAAGTCCACCGACTTGACTTCCAAAAATCATGTTGTTAGGAAAGAGCTATTCTTTCTCATGCATGTCCCTGGTGTGTGCTTGCATATACCCATACTTAGTACAAGTGTGTACTAATTCCATACAAACATCTACTTTTAGGTGCAGGCACAGGTGTACGGTAGAGCTACAAGTTCTTTGTTGCAGCTATCTGGACGTCAGCATTCATCCGGAGTTTGGTAGGTCCTTATGCCTTCGAGGATGCTACTGTTTTACATTCTAGCGTAGTTTTAGAGTTGAGCTAGTGGGGCATGTTCCACTAGCGTTTCTTTCCTGTTTTGGTTCAGACTTTGTATTGGTGCTATTTTGGCCGATATACAATTAATATTTAATGAATTATTTCTTTCAGTTGCTTATCTCTTAAAGGTTAGATGGTTGATGATGAACGATTACGAAATGTTAAGAATGTTCAGCAAGTATGATTAAAGAATCAAAAATTCCAAATTTTCCGCTAAAATTAATCTATGTAAAGTAAGAATGACGTAAGTAGGCTTGTCTGCGACCTCTGAGAGGTCAACGACGCCGGTCTCGTCTGGGGTCTAGATTCCGGTCGTGACAAAGTTGGTATCAGAGCGCTAGGTTAAATTCCTAGAATAATGAGTTCACATCAACCACATTGAGTAGTTTCTAAGTCATGGTAGTGAAGTGCACCACTATCCTGGATTAGAGACTGCATGATGCGTAGGAAAAACTTCCCTTTTTCTGATCTTATCGTGCTTATCCTAATGTTTGAATTCTTGGTGTTATGAACGTGTCTAACATCAATCTTGTTGTTTTTCAGAGAATGAATACTTGGAGGACTAAGGGTCGGAGGACGGGAGCAGCTGCAGCTAGGGGTAATCAGAATCCACCCCAGGCTCCAGCTGAAGGAGTGGCTATGCCTGTTAACCCAGCTGGGTTGACTGATGCGGAGGTGAGGGCATCTCTAGCCCAGATGGCACAGGCCATCACAATGCAAGCCCAAGCTATGACTGCCCAAGTCAACCGGCAGGATGTTCTAAGGGAAAACCCACCGGTTCGCAGCATAGCTGACAGACTGCGAGACTTCACGAGGATGAATCCTCCAATTTTCACAGGGGCTAAGACTTCAGAAGATCCTCAGGAATTTATAGACGAGTTGCATAAGATACTGGTGGCCATGGGGGCCACTGATATTGAGAAGGCTGAGTTGGCTTCCTACCAGCTCAAAGATGTTGCACAGACTTGGTGCAAAATGTGGCGAGATAACCGTGTCCTAGGAGAGGTGCCAGTCACCTGGGAGCTGTTCAAGACAGCATTTTTGGAAAGGTTCTTCCCTAGAGAGATGA